TATCGAAGGCCTTCCTGAAGTCTAAGTACACGACATCCACCCCTCCTCCTGTATCCAGGCGTTTCGTAACCTGGTCATAAAAAGAGACCAGATTAGTCAGGCACGATCTGCCTGCTATGAACCCGTGCTGGTTTCCCCTCAGCATAATTTGTCCTGCCGGGCTCTCGCAAATGTGAGTCTTGATAATTTTTTCAAAGATTTTGCCAAGGATGGAGGTGAGTCTGACTGGCCTATAGTTGACCGGGTCCTCCTTCCTCCCCTTCTTGAAAATACAAGCTTGGGGTAACCACTGCTGCCACCCAGGGGTCTGGAGTTTTTCCGGGCCCTGTTCCCCCTGGGGGTACATGGGCCTGGTAGACCTTGAGGGTGCTTGACCCACTGCAAGAACTGGAGGTGCTAACTTAAGCCTGAATCATAGGAAGTAGCTTCCCTTAGCCAGCTGAGCATAGGGACTAGAAAAGGTGTGCCCAATCCCTCTCCCAGCAAGTCCACCACACTTGTTATAGTGGAGAGCTTTATTGGTTAAAGAGGGTAGGCTTGGGGAAGGGTACAGGATAAAGAAGTATCAAAGAGTAACCCAGCGCAAACTGTCAGCTTAGTAGCTGGTTGACATGCTTCAACATTACAGTGAGCTATATATCTGCGAGTGGCTGCAGCAGGGAGTGCAGGCAAGGGGCCGCTTTTCCCCATGCTCAGCTTTCCCTGGGCTCCTTCCCTGCCCGGGTTCCCCCCGCCCCGTACCTGAAGTTCTGGTGCCACCAGGGCAGCCACATGGTCCCAGGCCAGAAGCTCCTCCTGCGGCTTCTGGCTGTGGGGGGGCCCTGCTGTTGCGGGAGCCTACCAAGCTTCCCCTAGGTCCTACTGCCCCTGTTTCCTGTCACTTTTGACAGGAACCAAGGACAGGTCAATATTAATTTTCTAAATTTTTAGGGGCCCTGCGGGCTGGATAGAATGGCCTCGCGGGCTGAATCTGGCCCATGGGCCGTATTTTGCCCACCCCTGCTGTGCACACCGACATGTCACCCTGGGCTGCAGAAGACTGTTAAAGGGTGCTAACAAAGGGGTTTTGAGCTTGTGACTTATCCATGTTACAGTTTGCATAAGTCAGTTCTTAGTCAGTCATGTGCAGGGTGCTAGGAATAGGTCTCAAGTGGTTTTTGACTGTTATCTTAAAGAGCTGAAAATCTCTGAACAGTTACAGTAGATTTTCTCTGTCTGTATTTATGCCACCCTTATGTCTGTGGTAGCTGCTGTAATTCTCAAGTACTCAAAGATTTTCTCCCAACCCAACACCTTGGAGCCAGTTTTGAGAAGCTGACTCTAATACATAATGAATTTAATAATAACTTAGTATGGATTTGACAGGAGTGGATTTATCTTGAGGATATGGGACTAGGTGGTGGTGCTGAGTGACAGTAAGGGGACAGTGTGGTCAGGATAATGGGCAGGTACCCAGCCATATGCCTCTTGTCAATATTTGTAAAGTTTGTGCCTTAAATCTACACGTTTCACTCTGAAAATTACCACTTAAGGCAGCTGAAATTATGCACAGTCAGATCCTGTCTTCACTGAATTACAATTTGTGTGTGTGTGTTGTCTCACCTACAGGTTACCTAGTATATTTCACAAGACCCATGACAATGCACCGGGCAGTTTCTCCAACGGAGCCCACTCCCAGGTAAGCATGAAAAATAGTGAAGTTGAGCTTATCTAATAATACCACCACCACCACCATGCCTTCATTAGTGCTAAAGGATTAGCAGGTGGTAGGATGCTAGGTGCTAAGCCCAGACCAGGAACTGTCAGTAGGTCTTTTACCCTAGTGCTTCAGTCTCCTGAGTTGTAAGCACCACAGAGAAGCAGGTTTCTTGTTTCTTCTGAGCTTTCCTATATTCTAAAGATAAGAGCAGTGGCAGGTTAGTTTAGCTGTCAAGCCCCAAAGCATGACCAACCATTTGGCAAGTAGGAAGGCATGAGAATTACTGAAATCCATTGTCCTTATTTTGGTAAAGATATTTCAACCAACTGGAAGAAAAGTTGGTAATGTCCCATGCACAGAGAGATTGAAGGATAAAACAAGTTCAGGAAGGCTGGTAATTCCTAAACAATATAGTATTGGAGACTTAGCGAGAATCTAATTCAACACAGTGTAAAGATGAGATCGCAGAAAACTGATGTAGTTACACAATATGCTTCTTAACAGCTTCAATATCAGAAGAGAAACACTGTCAATGCAAAGAAGAGCTAGTTGCTAAGAAGTGTACCAATAAATAGCAAGAACTTGCACCCACTAAATTAGGAAAGCAGGCAAAAAATGAGATACAACTAGCAAGGAATGTTAAAGGCAATAAAGTGGTTCTGTAAATGTCAGACAGGAAAGAAAGACCAAGGAAACCATGGGTCCACTGTTCAATGAGCAATTTAATGCAAGGATTAGTAAAATATGCCCCGTAGGTCAGATCCAGCCTGTCAATTGATTATAACCACTCGGCATGAGACCAAGCGCTGCCCACACCTGACAACAGCACTGCTGAAGCCCCAGCCAGTGCTTACACTTTCCTGGCAGGACTGATCCCACTGCTGCTGCAGCTGCCCACCGCTCAGCTCCCCCCCCACCTCTAAGGCTCCTCCTCCTGTCCCTGCTGTGCTGCTCCAGGCAGCGGGTAATACAAGGAAGCAGGGGTGGCCGTGGGGACACATGCCAGGCACCATATGCCCAGTCAGGCAGGGGGGAAGCTGTAGCTGGCAGCTCCTGCCCCAGCACATAGGGCTTCAGCTCCTGGCTGCTTTCCATCCACTCCACCTCCCCAGACCAATGAGCATCCACCTGTGAGCATGGGCTGGGGCAGTGACATCATTAGGTGTGAGGACAGGTGGGAGGCGGTAGGGCTTGGTCTCATGCAGAGCACCACAGGAGCATCTGCAGGCCAGATAGAGGGGAGGGGGGCAATGAACTGCACCTGCATTGCACTGCCCAGGCAAGCTCTGCTGCATGCACCCTCTCCCTTCCTCACCCCACCCCTGGCCAACTCCTGGGACCTAGCATGTAGGCAGCCCTCCACACCCCCTTCCTCCCAACAAGCATACAATATATAAGAGTAAGACTTTATTTTGAGCTATTATGCAATAACTTCTGTGTACACTACTAAAAAAACCCCATGAATCTGGACAAGAATTGTTATTTGAAATAAAATTAAAATTTGTTTATAGTAGATGTTTGATTGTTAGTGTATGGTTTGTTTTTTATCTATAATTTTATAGAAGATATCATTTTAACAGATTGTGTATGTGACCCTCGACAAGTCACCAGAAGTCATCAAATGGCCCTCCAGTGAAAATAATTGCCCACCTCTGTATTAATGGATGATGCAAGGAGGCCAGGCCTACTCAATAGCTACTTTCCAACAAAATATATTGTGACTAGACACAATTATAGACAAAGAAGAGCTGTTGATCATAATAACTAAAGAGCACATCAGAGATTTTTTGAGATTGAATGAATTCAAGTTGGCAGGACCTGACAAAATATATGGCAGGATGGTAAAGGAACTGACTCAAGAAATGCCGCTAGCAATAATATTTGTGAAGTCATGGGTGACAGGTGATGTCTCAGAAGAGTAGAGACAAGCAAACATAGCGCCCAGCTTTAAGGAGATAAAAAAGAGGAAGCAGGGAATTAATAGATGAGTCAGCTTGACTTCAATGCCTGGGAAGTTACTGGAGCAAATATAAAACAATCTATTTGTATACACCTGGAGGAGGAAGCGGAGATCACCAGGGATCTTGGTGTTCTCTAACGAAAAAAAAATCCAACATTTTCTGATATTAAAAAATAAATAAATACATAAAAACCCCAAAACCCTCATTTTTCTGTGATTTAAAACAAAACGACACTATGTATGTATATGTGTACATACATGTACAAACACATGCCCTA